TGAACCGCTAAGGAGCCAGATAGCTATTTCTCTCAAGTGCAAATCTACTTCACCTAAAAAGGACTGTTTGGACAGCATGACTCATGTGTGAATGGCATTATAGCTTCATGAGGTAATCCAGTCATAGTAACTACCTCATCATTATCACAAGAGTTAATATAACCTTTACATGATGTGTAGGATGAAAAAAATCCTACTGGTGCTTCGCTGTCCCTGAATTAACAAGGCACTTTAACACAGTGAGCGAGCTTGCTTGTCAGGATTCTGTGACCTTATCAATATTCATTTGGCTGAAAATGTGGCTCATGGCAGTTAGTAAGATGATAACATTTGTCCTGCTCTACAGGATAATGAGCTACAGAGATAAATGTCATAAATCTATCTACATTCAATATTAATTCATTCAAATAGATATGAGATTATGGGTATAAGACTAGCAACTACAGCATTGCTGAAGACTGGCCTCACAATCTTTTTGGCTTTTAATGTCGAAGACGTATTTCACATAAACCTTATAGCCATAGATAGATTACTGAACGAACCACTGAGCACAGGCCAGGGTGCCCCTCGATTTCTCTTGCAACATATCCCCTAAAAAAGCTGAAATCCGATACAAAACAACCACAAAGAGATGCAAAAATGACTATATATGCAAAATCACTAAAAAGAGACACAAAATGTCTGCCCAGAGATGCTAAAAAATTATAAGGCGATAAAAAACAAAAAAAACAATGAAAAGCAGATGTAAAACATACTCAAAGAAACACAAAATGTCCACCAAGAGATGCTAAACAACTGCAAGAAGATGCAAAATGACCACAAAAAGATGCCAAATGACTATAAAGACATGTAGGAAGGCCACAAGAGAGATGCAGAACATCTTCAAAGACAAAAATAATTAAACTTATAAAGACAAACATAATTATGTTAATGTTAAATTAGCTTTTGTCTTTAATGACTGTATTTACATGTCTTTAGTACTTCAAGCTCAAACTCTGGGTCCAAATATAAATGTCTGGAAACTGATGGGAGCAGTTATTATGTCAGTATGATTAAATTCTCATAGTCCCCCCAAGGATGTGTAATCCAATACAGAATTTAAACACCACAGAAAATAAAACCTGTGGATAGATTTACTAATCTAATGAGATGACCAGCCCAGAACACAATGGTTCTTTTAGAGGCTGCAGACTGTGCAGCTATTGAACCTATTTACTCTGCCCTCACTTATATGAATAAAGTGGACAAAATAGTAAAAACACCTGTCAAAATTATGCAAATAATGCGATACAACTCAACAGTAACAACTACAACCTGCAGAGTGATCATAACATGATCAACATCATTTTAAAACAGTAAAAAAAAGAAAAGAAAAGAAAGGTAGGTCATTTTTTTATGTTAACTAGAATAAAATGCAGGATTAGTTTAATTAAGATGGGTGTAGCTAATAAACTAGCAAATTATAGCATTAATACTAGCTTTAAATTAAGTCAAAGGACTGTGTGGCTTCATGCTGACCTCATATAATTCTTACAAATATATTGGGACCTTTAATTAGTATAAAATGAAATGCTCTGAAAGCACACGACTGACTACCCATACAAATTAGCATTCCCTCATTGCTAGCTAAAACTTAGTAGAATACCGCCCTCTTGTGGCTAAATTTCGAGCAGTTGGGTTTTCATTTAATTGTTTTCTAAGTAGTAAAACGCCACAATGTTTTAGCCCCATTTATAATCAGTCAGCATCGAAGCTACCAACAAAACAACTCGTGCAGCAGTAATTAGTTAGGCTGTTTAACGGTTTGGGTTGATTACCTTCCATCTCTGACTCCCAGCATTGTGAGGGACTCGGTTTCCCATGATCCCCCCTTCCACGCTGGGTAATGTGTGACGCTTATTTTAGGCGACTGTCAGTAGTACGACTGAGTCAAGTTAGTGTGATGGTTACACTGAGCCGATGAAACCTATGGTATTATTATTAGTAGTACCTTATAGTATTATTTACGTTATTTTGTTTATTGTCCTACCAATAAACCAGCTTGTGTCGCTGCTGGTAAGCAATCCTAGCTAGTTTAAAATGACTCTTCCAGCTTTGCACAACACCGGCGTGCTTTACAGAAGGATTTTGTCACAGTTTCCTCAGGATATCAGTTTGGCCTTTGCCTATGGATCTGGCGTTTTCAAACAACACGGGACCGGCCGAGGTCAAATGGAGGTGAATACTACACGTCCAGCGCCTAGTTTTCAAACTTATCTTATTAAACTTGCACTGTATAACACTGTGAGAGTGATATTGCATTACATTATTCTAATATGTTGTCCTACGTTAATTTAGTCAAACTGATGGCCAGTTTTTGAAAAATTATGCACTTAACCTGCTGTATACCCTTTAATTATCCCGTAATGTTAATGCTATAATAACTTATCCTGTAATGAATAAAGTTAATTGTTTTGAACCTGCACAGGAATTACATTGGGAACTATTTCAAGTGATTATTTTAGTATTTTTTTCCTAGAAAAAACAAACAAACAAACAAAAAAACTCTAAACCTTTGCTGCTTCTAGCTTTTCACTTGATATTCTTAAATGGAACTTTGCCCACTTTTAACAACAGAGCTTTGTAGACATAGTCCTGCAATATGATCATATCATCACTATGATTTCACTGAATGTTGACTAGTCACTGTGTGTTAGAATTTGAAAATGTGCCCTAATTTGTGGCTCATCAAAATGTGGTTGTCATTTTTAATACATACAGAAGAACATGCTAGACTTTGTGTTTGCGGTGGATGACCCAGTGACGTGGCACACCATGAATCTGCTACAGAACCGCAAACATTACTCCATCCTCAAGCTGCTGGGTCCCACAATGATCAGCTCCATACAAAATGAATATGGGGCTGCAGCATACTACAACACACTGGTGCCTATGGATGGGAGGGTAAGTGGTATGTCTTGGCTTCTTTTCCTTTTATTGTTCACCAAAAGGATGGTAGTCCCTAGTCTAGTGAACACACATTGACTTATTTTTCTTGATGATGATTCAAGTTGTTTGTTCTGACAGTATTTGTTTGACCAACAATAAGCTGTACATTATTAGAATTGTATGTGTTTAATTGACTGGGCTAGAGATCCAGACCAAACTTGTCTTTAAATATGAAAAGAAATGTGAGTTTATAGAAAAACATTGTTGAAAATCTACTTGATTTTGTGTGAATGCAGATTATCGGATTTAGTAAATATAAATATAGTCAATATATTTTAAACTGATTTTTATTTAACCAGGAAGTCCCACTGAAATTTCAAACCTCTTTTACAAGGGATACCTGGCCAAAAAAGTGTTAACTACATACATGTATCTTTGTTTTTCAGTTAATCAAATATGGTGTGATTAGTACAGAGTCTCTAATTGATGACTTGATGCACTGGAAGACAATGTACATTGCTGGACGCCTTCACAAACCGGTCAGTATAATGATTAGACTGTGACCGAATCAATCTGAAAAAAAGATACATAAAACACTTAATTTTGCTAAATGTTGTCCCAGCTTTTGACAGAGTTGTTTAAAATAGGTAGAAACAGCTGAATGTTTCCCAAAAAGGATTCAGTATAGTTCTCTTTTTTTTTTTTTATTAAATAACTACATATTTTTATGATTGTACAATAAAGTATTCAATGAAATTTCTTCATGTTTTGCTACAATGTAAGAGCACAAATAATTGTATCCATACTTATGTGTGCGCATGCATGTGCATGTCCGTTTCCTTGCAGGTGAAAATGCTGGTGCAGAGTGAGAATGGAAAGCTCCAGTCGGCCTTGGTGGCCAACCTGAAGAGTGCTGTGATGGCTTCCTTCCTCATGCTGCCAGAGAGCTTCACTGAAGATGAGCTTTTCCTGCAGATAGCTGGCCTTTCTTATGCTGGTATCTAACCCACATAGCTACATCAATTCAATGAAAATGAAATGTATAAACATTTATAACATGCACATACTTCTTAGCACTGTAAGAACCGCATAGAACAGCTCCAGTGGTCTGACCTGTGGTTAGACTGTTGAGCTAATGAGTAATTTAACACTACCAGGAAATGTACACAGGAAACTGAACACCAGAAGGATTTTAGAATCCCAGAATGTGTTATTGCTGTGGTCCTAGAGCAAAGAGGAAAAGTGCAATGCAAATGTCACCACAAATATGTATGTTACACATAAGGGTGAGCATTTTGTCCGTCTCTCTGAAGGGGATTTTAGGATGCTGTTTGGAGAGGAGAAATCCAAGGTGGCCAATATTGTCAAAGACAACATTCAGCACTTCAGGACTTTGTATAGTAACATCCTACAGGATTGCCCTCAGGTGGTCTACAAACCTCAGCAGGGAAAATTAGAGGTAAACCTTGGCACAGACACACACCTACTTTTAAAAGTTTTCACTTGATAGTTGAGCTATGTAGTTCAGTTTGGTCATTGTGTGTTATATGTACAACTTTTCCCTTGTATGTTATATTATCCTAAGATCAAAATGGAAAATTTACGGGTATTAGATAAAAAAAAAAAAAGTTGTACCCTAAAAAGAGAAACTAATCATCCATCCGAACTGCAGGCAAAACAGCTCAGTACTACATTCAATATGAGTCACCTTTCCTATCAAGTAGATGAATATCTTTTTACTTGAACAGTACAATGTGCTCACAGTCCCGGTAGTAAATTTTAAATTGAGTGTGACTAACTTGGCGCTCTGCCCTTATACCTGTTATGTTCAGTATTAACTGTCACAATGTGAAACGTGCAGTATGTGATTGGCATATGTACACATTCCTAAGCAATTCTTCTTCGTGTACAGTTTAATCCACCACCCCCTTTTATAGCTATAAGGAAATCCACACCTCAGGCATCACACCATGCTAGAATAACACGTTTAGTAAGTTGTTTAGTGGATTAGCTAAAAGCCAAGTACTGTGGATGTATTTGTAAATGAGTAACAGGTTTTGCAGTGAGCATTGCGTGTGAGCTGCTGCATATGGGAAAAACCCTTGTACCTCTGTATGTCATTAAGCAGCACAGCAGACATCATCTGTGCAAGAGGCAGCTCCAGACTGATGTGCAGTTGATTCTGTTCTAACTTTAGTGGCTGTGTCACTATTAACGAAATGCTTTTCTTCTGTCATTCTTAATGTCACAAGGTCGTTACTGGTGATTTAATGTTGAGTTTTTGAAGTCAATATAGTTTCACTCGATGTATATACACAGTTCATTCCTAATAACAGTATGCTTTGTTTGTTTACATTTGATTGAATCTGTAGATGCAATAGTTGGTGTAGCTGCTGGTATTCAGTTTACTGTATTTATTCTTGTGTACCTGCAGGTAGACAAAAGCCCTGAAGGGCAGTTTATCCAGTTGATGGCGTTGCCTCGGACCCTCCAGCAAAGGATCACAAGGCTGGTCGACCCTCCGGGGAAGAACCGAGACGTGGAGGAGATCCTGCTGCAGGTGGCTCAGGACCCAGACTGTGGAACTGTCATACAACAAGGTTTGGACTAGTGCATGGGTGGAGAGATGTAGAACAGAGGAAGGAAAATAGAGAAAACAGGAGAGCGTTGTCTTGGTTTCATTAAATCACCAATAATATGAAACACTAAAAGAGAAGAACCCTGAACAGATGATTGGTTTGTGGTTCGGTAATAACAAAGTAGTGGATGGACATTCAATAGTCACCTTAAATGTTAGAAAATAAAAAAGGTTCTAGTCTAGACAGACATAGATGGATAGAGTAAAAGCAAAATAATAAATCCCAACTTTATTCTGCAGGAGGAATGCCACTGTTACTTGATTAAACAGGTTCTACTCATAAGCAGCATTAAATCATATTGCAGAGCGATGAGAAGTCTAGTGTGTTATAATTGCATCTTCTTCCTCAGGTGTCTCATCTATTGTGAAATCCTCCAGTATAACACAGAGTGTCAAAGGCATTGCTACAGCTGGTAAGCACACTTGTCATTTTTATTTGATATTTTTGGCAGATCCTATAAAGTTGTCTTTGTGCTTGCTGGCTACAGCTTCAGATTTACTGTATAGCTATGAGGGTGGTATTGATCTTCTCATGCAACTCTAAGCAAAAAGGCAAATCAGTTTTTTTGCCAAAATGTCACAGTATTACACAGTTTGTGCCTCTTAATTTAAAAAATGTACAGTCCAATGAAAGATCGTCCACTTTAAAAAAAAAAAAGTACTAAGAAGTGACATTTTGGATAAACTAGATGTCGCTAAAGTGTGTTCCTAAACCTTTTACTGTGTATTAACAATAGCTGTAATGTAGAGATAATGTTCTTCTATTGTGGTTGTTAATGTTGATTGTGTGTCCTGGTCCTCTCCAGGCTTGTGGAAGACAATTTTATACAGCTCCAAAAAACTGATGAAGGTGTGGAAGGGCTGGAGGAGGAAACCATCTGTGTCCTGAACCTGTCTGTTACCTGTCTGTCTTTATGGATATCAGTCCAACAACCAACATCCATCCTGTGATTTTTACCCTGACAAAGTGGAACTGGAACAATCACAGACTAACCTCTGGTTGCGTCACTCCATCGTATCTGTGAATGGGTTCACTGACCATATGTAAAGCTGTCTGAATAGTTTCTCCTACTGTCCTTTATCAAGCTATTCATAAAGTTGTAGAATAAGTGGTGACATTTAAGGTTAATATAGATTGGACCTTGTTGGATAGTGATGACTAGAATGGCTGGTGAGACACTGCTGAAAGGACTAGATCTACATTTTATGCTAATGTAGTTAAAAGCAGCACAAAGCACAGCATGCAACGAGTACCATGAGAGTAATGAAGAAATGGCTAGCATGACAGGATCTTCTCCTCTGGGGCGTTTCCCATCTGTGTTTTCTCTCTGTGGACGGTGCAGCATAGATGACAGATGATGGGCAGCTACGGTTCTGAAATAAAGTGAAAATTGATACTTGTGGGTAATTTTCATCACTGTACTCGACAAAGGAGGCCACCGAGTTCCTTTCACCAGCTGTAGACTGGTGTTACATATCACAAACACACACATTCTCTCTTTGCCAAAGATCTCAACTCTTCACGTCTTAAGTGCTTTGATAGTTAGCCATATCTCAGTGAGTATTTGACTGAAAATAGAACCACACTTTTTTCAGAAGCTGTTTGGAAGGATTGCAGCTCTGATGAGTAAATGCATCAAACACTTTTTGTCTACTTCACTTAATAAACTTTAAACATATGATTACTTTCGTTGGCACAGCATGTTTTTTTTTGTTGTTGTTTACGTTACTGTAGGTCCACAAAAAACTCAAAGTAAGTTCACAATGAAAGAAAATCATTAAAGTTTGGTGGGTCATTAATGGAAGACCATAAGCTCCTGTAGCCTGTTGCTGAGCATCATCAGTCTGAAGTTGCAGTTGCCAAGTGGAAGTCATTATTACCTTTTTGTCATCTCAATTGTTGTACTATATATATATATATATGCACACAGTCTAATCTCATTAAACTTAACAAAATATAACTAATCTACACTGGGAATAAGTTAATTCCTTTCTTAAACAATAACTCCTGTACAAAAGTGTGAAGGCCCCGCCGTGGCCTTCAGTGTGTGAAGGCCTAAACCCCCAGCAGCAGTAGAATTAGCTAGGTAATGTTCTTTTGTTCGTGTGTGTAGATTTAAGTTGTAGGTAGATGTTAGGCATTTGATTTGATATATACAATTAAGATTTACATAGCGTCTTTGTCCATTCCCTGTGCGTGTTATTGGTTTGGCCAGCAGGTATATGTGTTCCCCCATTTGTTCAGTTTGCTGTATTTTGAGTTTCTTTATCTTTTGTTGACCTGTTTTAGGGCCCAGTTTGCTTCATATTGATGTTTGTATTTTTTTTTCTTATTTTTGGGTGAATATAAAGCCCATCATTTTTGAACTGTAAAAGCTGTGCCCTCTGCCTTTCTGTTTGGTCCCTGACAAAAACTAAATACACATCAGATATTATGCAAATAAGATCACTGTTGTGATCAAAGTTTACTGGTTATTTTGCTGTCATATCACAGTCACAACAGAGAGCACCATTTACTTCCTGGTTCCTTCCTGGTGCACTTCACCTGTTTATGTACCTTTACACTACTACATCATGAGTCGTACTTGATTTCACTGGACACACCTCAATATTTGAAATTCTCCTTACATATTCTGCATATACTGTATATATGTATAATTTTCTGATTATATTTGTGTAGACTTTTGAGATGTATTGAAATACTTAGATATTGACTAAATAAAGGTCTAGGAACTGCCTTTCCCAAAAGTACTTGTAGCTTCGAAGCGACTTCTCTTAAAATCCATTTAGATTCAAACGAATGGCGTGTTTCGTCACACCAGACTCTCAGTAAACACGGTGACAGCAGCACAACCTTCAGAGGATGTGATGCAATGGGCAATTATCATAATCTATGCTGATATCATGGCTTCAGTCCTCCACCAATCAGAGCGCTTCACTTTCACCACCTGCTAGGAACCGAATTCCATCATTCCAGGCATTCTTGCCCCCTTCCTCCCTCCCTCCTCATCCTCCTCCTCTTCTCCTTACAGGTTTACAACCAACTTTGTCCCGACAGCTCAGCTACTGTTGTCCTGCCTCGTACAGGACCGCTTTTCTACGGCTTTTTGTTTCGCATGTTATTTGTATGGGAAATATATGTTTGTCTTTTCTATTAATTTATTTATTGTGTGGACATTATCATACTGGAAGATACCAAAGTGGCGCTTGAAGGAGGTATGTGCTACAACACATGAAGTTGTGTGTGACTGACAATGTTTCGGGTTTGTAGGGTAAGAGTCAGATGAGAGGTCAGAGATGTTGTTTACTGTTCTTTATGAAGGCTGCTTAGAGAAAAGACGCACGACAGGGCTGATACAGAGTCCGCGTTGATGCACAAAGATGACAGTGGAAATTCCATTCACGGTAGGAAGCGGCGCTGGCTGCGTCTCAAACTTTCTAGAAACCTTCCCTCTCACGCTTTCCTCCACCGATTTTGAGCCATTTGGGCCACTTTTCTCTGTTGCAGGAAACGAGCCAGTCGTCTTTCGTGCCAGTTTTTTTCAAGTTAGTGCCAGATTATTTTGCTGTGGATACTTTTCAAGGGAGCACTGACAAGGAAGCACCGAGTCAAACTGATATAAATACTGTACACGGCTGCCGGGAATACAAGTGGACGCACTTGTTACTGATATACTCAGTTTCACTTTGCCCGACTCGTTCACAGATGCACACACACACGCACACACATGTAGACGGTGTTGTGATAGAGTCACACTGAGAACAGACATGACATGTTAGCATTTTAGTCTGAAACAGCGGGGATTGTTTTTGATAATGATTTCGCTCACAAGGCATTTTTCCTGGAGAAATGACGGAGCGGTATCTGAGGAATGCAGAGACAGTTTTGCTTTTTAAATCCACAAATACCTTTCATAGCAACTATACTGAGGGCTCGACATTGTGGGACAAAAATCCAAAAAATGTTTACACAAACCACAACAAAAGGTACATTTTAGAAGGAGCAAATATCACAGGAAGGTTAGGAGGGACTAAGTCATGTGGTACCATAGTGATGGAAGAAGTATTCATGGCCTTTAAATGGAGCAATGCAACCATAGTCCTGAATTTAAGTGCAAAAGTAATATCAGTAAAATGTATTTACTATAGGTATCAAAAGTAAGGTACTGGCCCCTTAATCTTATTATTAGGGATGGGACAATACAGTATATCAAAATTCTATATATATCACAATACAAAAACATTATATCTGTCATCTATGAATTTTTAATTGTATCGTGATTGAATCGAATCCTACACACCATATTGTGTATTGTATTATATAGATAGTTATTATATATGCAGCTGGTTCCAGTTTCTCAAATGTGACAGTTATATAGGCTAGTAAACTCAATACCTTTGGCTTCTGGACTGCTGGTTGGACAAAACAACTCATCTGTAATCTTAGACTTTGGGAAACAGCAGCATGCATTTTTCACTACTTTCTGAAATTATAGACTAGATGATTTATTTTCTTTTTCATGGTGGTTTTCTTTTTATATGTTTGCACCAGCTAAAATATGACCAGTCACAGATTATGGACCTGCGGACTGGACTTAAAGTAAGGCAGATGGTCTAGTTATTGTAGCTTGTTTCAGTTTAATTGTAGGATTCAGACAACTGCCTTGAGAAATCTAGATATGTAAGAGACTCACAATGATTTTCATTTAGTAAATTAGGTTTATTGTCTAGTGCTATATATACCTTTTAATGTGTCTCTTCTGCAGCAATGCAGTGTATTATAGCTACTAATATTAAATCCTTTGGTAACACTTTATTTATGGGTCCATTATTTCCTAGCAATTTTTTGAGAGTTTGCAGGAAAGGACCCTTAGTTTGGCACTAATTACAGGAAAAAATCCGACTGGTTGTGTTAGCTTAGAATTTAGAAATAGCTGTGTACCAACTGAACTCCTGCTGTCTTACCTGTAAGTAGTACCAAAATATTTCGGTCTTTCCAGAAAACGTCATGGGGGATCATTTGGAAATGAATTTACAGAGCCATGAAACAAAGTGTTACTCATCACCAACAATACAGGTGATGAGACTTTTGGGATATTGTTTTAATTGGCAAATGCATGAAATGCTACACATCTTTTAATTAATTAACCTTTCAACAGAGTGCCGTCCCCTCTGTCTCGCAGGAGTCCAAGCATGGAGACACCTCTGGATGTTCTGTCAAGAGCAGCATCATTTGTTCATGCAAATGAAGAAGAGAGTAAGTTTTCTCACAGCTCTGGTTTCTGTTTGTGTGTCAGTAGAATTGTAGTTGAAAGACCCCCCCCCCAACAGGTTTGTGCTGTCAAAAGAATTATACATAAATGATTTGTTTCATTAGAGTTTGTGTTACATATGGATTAAGTGCAACATGATTTTCAGCTCAAGTCTCAGCCCTGTTTTCTGATGTTAAGACAATAGACATCTTTGTGTTGTGCAGGCTTGCAGTTGCAGATACACAGGCAAATACGACCAACCACGCTCAACTGTCACCAGTACTGCTTTTTAAGTTATTGCTTGCTTGTGTTATTAACCTGCATTCCCTGGAATCGGGATGAGGTTGTGTTTGCATATCTGTCTCAGTATGTTTCTGTGTTACTCTGGCACTTTTTCTAACTTCTGTCCGTTATCTCATTGATCTCTATCCATCTTTTTTTTTCAATCCCTTCCCAGTCTCCCTTCCTCCATTTTATTACTCCTGCTCTATCCTTTTCTGTCATTTCCTTCGTCCCCTCTTAATCATGGCTTTGAAGGGGAAAAAAAAAATTCCTTCCAAGATCAGGGAGAAATGGCCAGTCCTTTTCGGCAGGCCTCTCTGCAGCTAACAGGGCTCAGAGCTGAGCAACACTTAACATTCAGTGGGTGCTACCGGATAGTTGATCTGCACAGATCAGCAAAAAGCCAGGACTGACTATGGGGTGTTATTATACATTTTTACAAAGTTTTTTATGTTGTTGAGGGGGTTAGGGGGACTGAAGCATCGGGGGGCACAAACCTTTTAAATCCTAGAAGGAACCAAGTGATGTACTGAACTCCATTATGATAAGTGTATGTTTTAAATGTGGTAGAATCTTGCTGTTAAGTCCATTTCGGATTGAGAAAACAGCATCAGTTTCCTCATTTAGAGTTCACTATCTTTAAAACTTGCATAATACCTGATAAACTGTGAATGTACATGGTTATAACAAATAGAGGAAAGTGTGCAGTTAGATAATCACTTGTTTTCACTGGTGTATTGAGAGACTGGGAATATTTAGAAAAGAGACTCTGTTTTAATGTCTCCCATGTCGCCAGCTTGTTCCCATAATGGTGCAGCTTAAATGAGCTGAATATCAGCTTCCTTGCACTTCTGAGTAAAATGGCATGGGAGCTCTCCTCCCCACCTCCTCTACTCCCTGCAGTGTTTTTGTTTTTTCCTCTGCGCTGATGTCACTTTTGGTTGTGGGTCCTGCATGGCCTCTTTGTCCAAAGACAAAGCGCTCAACCTGTTTTAACAATAGCGCTCTAGAAAGGGGTGAACTAGCTAGTCAGCCAACCAGCTAGTCTGCCAGACCAGCTCTGAGCCAGCCAGCTATCCAGACCAACAGGCAGTTGAGTAACCCCTGCCTGCTTGTTAGCATTTATGACGAGCCTTTGTAATGCCTGTGCAGTGCTTGACAGCAGAGCGTTTACCACAGAACAGGGAGAAGCTCGGGCCTGCCTTCACAACAGCCACTTAACCTCACTGGGACCAAGTGGGACTTGTCAGGGCAGTGCTGCACGTCACAACAGTTAGAACTCGAAATGAAAAGCATTGCTCAGGATTTGAAAACTACAGCCCTGCAGATAACCCATCTCTGTTGGAAATGAATTTATCAGATAATTACACAAATGCTGTCTTGAGGAAAGTGGAATTACAGTGTATGAATAATGTATTAGGTCATTTCTGAGGTTGTGCTGCTTTGCCTGGCTTTAAAATGGAAAATATACTACAGTAATATCCTGAAATGGAATTTTTGGCCTTGGCCCAGATTAATAATTGCTTATCTAAAATTCAAATAAACTTTTAAAGAAAAACATTAGGTTTTAGTAAAACCTTGTCAATCTTGACTGAGCACATTTTGAAACCAATTTTGTGTGGTTGTAGATTTGCAACAGATAAAATATTTGGAGTACTGGTTGTGGTGGTTGATAGTATCAGCGGCTTTTTCACGGAGTAAGGGCATCAGCTCACAGTTGTAACAATTTGAAATATCACAAGCCATACATCTACATCTGCCTTGCAGGTTCAAGTCAAGTCAGTTTTATTTTTATAGCCCAAAATCACAAATTTACCTCATGGACATTAAGGATTTATACAACATACAACCCACTATGCTTTGACCCTGGATTTGTATCAGGAAATAAATCTCCCCTAAAAATATTTAAAAGTCATGAAGAGCAACAGAGGAGGGACGGACAGACATGCAGTAGGTGTCGTATATACAGAGTGGACAGAAGCAGCAGTAGAAAAATTGACAAAATTTGATAACTATAGCGGAGTGTTGTCAAGTAATTAAATCTACATGTATCATCTTTTATGATGATACAATGGCACATCCAACAGATTCCGAGCAACATTAATGTTCACTTTGTTGTGT